ACCAGGCCTAGGGAGAGTAGCAACAGTGCTAAACTTTCTCTATTTGTAGACAGTCTGTCTTACCGTGGACACATGAACATCAAGGCTTTTGGAGATACTTTTGTAACCCTTTCCAGCTTCATGCAAGTCAACAATTCTTGATCGTAGGCCTTCTGAGAGCTGTTTTCTGTGAGGCATGGTTCACATCAGACAGTGCTTCTTGAAACCAGTAAACCCAAAACAGGTGTGTGTTTTTTAAGGGCAGGACAGCTGTCAGCAACACATCCAATATCATCACACTGATTGGAGTCAAGGTTGGCTCACTCCTGGCTCCAATTAGTCATTAAGCTAGGGCCTCACATACTTTTTCCTCCCTGCACTGTGAATGTTTACATGTTATGTGCAATTAAACCATGGCAACATATAATGATTGTGAAGTATTATGTTCAGCAGACTGTGTTCTTCTATTGTTGTGACTTAGATGACGTTCAGAGCACATTTTATGCCCAATTCATGCAAACTCCACATAATCCCAAGGGGTTCACATACTTTTTCTTGCAACTGTATCCGCAGAACACTGCTGTGTACGGACAACATTTTCACTTTGTATTTCATTACATTTATAGGTCCTGGAAAATTAGGGCTGAGGATGAGCAATTCTCCCTTAACCAATTAGAAATCACAACCCAGACAGACACTTTCCTTTAATGAGATGTGACTTCTTTCAGATTGCACTTATTTGGAAACCACCACATCCTCATACCTTGCCTTTGCACGGTATGAATAACGGATTACTGTTACTATGTATAGCCCTGTGTAAAAATAGGGAGTTCCTATAAACAATTAGTAAAAATAGTAACATAGAAGAGTGACAGCAGAAAAAAGACCAAGAGGTCCATCGAGTTTGCCCCATTTTTTTTAAAACTATAGAGTATAGATCTATGTTTGTCACAAGTATGTTAGAACCTATTTACTGTTTGCCTTTGTTGGAAATTTATTCCAAGCATCAAATATTCTTTTGGTAAAGTAATACTTTTTAAGTTTAGTTGTGAACTATCCTCCTCCATCTTTTTAATCTTAGCTTCATATTGATACTACTATCCTACAGAAATGTATTCACACTATAATGTATTTAAAGAGTAACACCACTTTTTTTGAGGAAAAAAAAACATTCCCCTCTGGGTGATCTACAGTATGTACATTGCAAAGACCACAATAAACTTTGTGGCAGATTCCCATCTTTTGTTATTCTGAAGAAATAGCTGTTTGTTTGTCTGTGTCCATGTGCAGAGTGATTCTATATAGAAGTGGTTTTATAATTATCAATCAGCTGTTGCACCTGCAGGGCTTTATTGAAGAAATTGGTAAGGTCTGCATCCTATTAGATGCGATTTCCCTTTGGGAGTATCTCACCAAAAATGACATTTTTGTTGCAGCGGATGCCCTAAATAAGACTTGTATTTTAGTGCAGACTTCTGGGAAAATCAGTAAGCCAAACACTCAAGCAAGAATTTACATTTTCGGCGAGTGTTTTCTACACCCTCTGCATTGCATTTTACTGAAAATTGCAACATTGCAGACTGAAAAGGGAAGATCATTTTTAATAACATTCTATTACAATATGAATTGAGTCACAATGTATATGTTATATTCTAATTTTTTTATTTGCTCATTTTTTTCCACAAAAGTGGTCATCCTTTAAAGGTTTTAAACATGTCTCCCCTTTCCCTTCTTTCCTCCAGACTGTACATATTAATTTCCTGAAGTCTCTCATGACATGTTTTAAATCCCAGACCTTTCACCATTTTTGTTGCCCGTCTCTGGACTTGTTTTATCTTATGTATATCTTTTTGTGAGTGAGCTCTCCAGAACTGTTTTAAAATAAAAACATGTTGGGCAAATAAAACTATTTCAAAGTTCAAAGAAAAATGTCCAAGACAAAAAAAATTTTCACTTAACCTCCTTAGCGGTTTTCCCAAGTGTAGCTCGGGGTTAATTTGAGCACCAAGAGCGGTAACCCCGAGCTACACTCGGGCTTACCATGCGGCGTTGGGGGTCCCTGCAGCACTTACCTTGTCCTTTGCTCCCGCGATGTGTCCCCTGCAGCGTTCCCGGCCATCTCCTCCGGCCCATGCCGGCATCCGGCTTCCGTGTTTCGGTCCCTGTGACGTCGGGACGTATGGGCGCCGGAACCGGCGGCAAATTTGAAATTTTTTAAAAATGTCATTTTTGCTGTCATTGCTGTTTCAATGCATTTCACATATATTTTGTCCCTACTGCTTTGTCCTGTGCCCTGCCTGTATTTTGACTGTTCTTTCTGCCCCGGCCATCTCCTCCGGCTGATGCCGGCATCCGGCTTCTGTGTTCCGGTCCCTGTGACGTCGGAACGTAACGTACGGCCGCGCGCCGTCGGCGGGAAATTTAAAATTTTTTTAAAAATGTCATTTTTTTCAAAACGAATTTTACATAGTAAAACATTGCTGTTTCAAACCATTTCACATACATTTTGTCCCTAGTGCTTTGTCCTGTCCCGTGTCTGCATTTTGACTGATCTTTCTGCCTGGAAAAAGCGTCTTAGAAAAGTTGATAATGATTCGTGGGGAAATTCGTCATCAGACACTGAAAACAATTTTTGCGATTTTGCTCAGCGATGTGCGAATTTGCCTCTGTATTTCAAATTTCAGTGTTTTTGGTTTGATTATATTATTGAATTAAATTTATTATTATTATATTATTATTTTTTATGATTATTTATTAAATTATAATTTATGATTTCGTGTTTCAAGTTTTATCATATCCGGAATGTTTCCTAGACTCTTGTTCGTACAGATTTCAGTGAGTTATTCCTAAAAATTACAGCCTACAATAAAAAACTACATATTTCCATGCAAAAAAATGGTACCGCTTTCAGCACAAAAAATCGGAAAGAATCATACTGCCAAGGAGGTTAATTGCTCATTGCAGGTGTATTGGAAGCTCAAGAAGCACAAGCAAAGTGTCATCAATATGAAAAACTTGATGATGGCAAGTTAACACAGTCTCTGGAAAGGGCATCTACTGACCCCCTTATACTTATCAAACCTACACTTTCTTTGCACTCACTCAGTCTCGGGACATTACTCAGACCTAGCAAGTGGCTGCTAATTCTGTCAACTTCAAATGGGAGTAGAAAGTGCTGGGTATTCTTGCTAGCTGAGGAGGAGAAAAGAGATGCAATAAGACTACAGAGGCACTGTCACTCAGAGAAAGCTGAGGATAAACAATAGTACTGTGAACAGGCAAGTCACTCCTGTGTAGTACAGAAGCTCATACTTAGGAATTTGAAATCCTCAGTTTGTAAGGGGGACTACTATTGGGCAGGTGTTGGTGTCAAACTGTGCAACCCCACTCTGCTTCTTCTTATTTAGGACAACTGCCCACCTGTTGTTGAGAAATTCTCTGCCATATTGTGTCATATTCCTGGCGTGAGTTCGGCTTACGACATCATCGACCTTAATATTTGAATGGCCACACACAAATGCATTTTCTGCACTTTACTGTAGTTTTTCCATAACATATCACATTGATATACTAACAGAATCTTCAGTGTGGAAAACCATATGCAAGGTTAGATATTCTGTAGCAATCATTTCAGTGCAGAGAGCAGGTACACCCATTTAAGCTATTTTCATTTTACACTTCCATTCCACTTCTTGGGAGCACCACAGACCAAGAATCACCTTCCTATGTATACTAAGTCCACAGCATTGAGCTTCCATCACTAGGTCATGAGACCCACAGCTGAGGGTCGGAGGGTATCAAGGTGCTTCTTTTTGTATACCTTTCTTTTCCCAAAATCCCTTCCATAGTTCTGCCCAGACGGGGACACTCCCAGATAAAACTCACTTCGAGGCTCCACTATTACTTACATCAGAGGACTCTCCCATGCCTCCAAGGCCTTCTGCACCCCACTGCAGGGCCCACAGAAGAAGGGTCAGCTGAGACAGGGTAACTACAGCAATTCCTCCCATGTTCTGTACCACCTCACCTGAGACTTTAGCTTTACAAAAGACCCTTTATTTATTTATTTATTTTATTATTTTATTTTTATTAATTTTATCTCATAAATATAAATACAACAGTTTTCCACACATTAAAATCATATAATCTCTATAAAAATGTTTTACATAATCCCATCCTCTCCTTCCCACTTCTCCCCCCCCAAACCCCCCCATTTGGTCACCTCCTACTTTAAACCTCTTTCTTCCTGTTCCAATATTTTATTATCTCCTTCCCTACCTTTACCCCCAATTCAATTCAATTTTGCTCCTAATTCCTTTTCTCACTTTTCTAAAAACGGTGGAGGAACAGTTCCAGATATAGCAGTAAGAATCTTATATATGCAAGAAGTAACATGTTTTTGCATTATATCCATACTAAAAAAATGCTCAAATGGATACATGTCCTTCGTCATCCTTAGTGGCTGCGGGAGAGCTGTACCAAAATGTCTTAATTGATAATAACGCCACTCATTTAACAAAAAAAAATTTCCTTCTTATTTTTAAAATCTATAAAAGTACACAATTCCCCTTTATCAGTAATATCTTTTAACCACCTCCCGCCCGCCATATAGTCCAATGACGGGCGCAGGTGGTTCTCTCGTTCTGAGAGGATATGACGTCCTCCCATCCTCACCGCACATGCGCAGCTCAGGGAGCGCGCAGCGTGGCGATCGGCGGTGCGCTGTGTCCCTAGGACACGGCAGATCACCGATCATGGAAAGAGCCGAAGATGTCGACTCGGTCATGTGATCAGCTGTGTCCAATCACAGCTGATCACATGTAAACACGGAAATGCTGGTTATCAGCATTTCTCTCCTCTCGAGCTGTCACACTGACAGCTCAAGAGGAGAGGAGAGGAGAGCCAGTAATCGGCTTTCCGCGGAGGGTACATGTACACTGATCATCAGGGCACTGATGATCAGTGTAGCCCCAGCAGTGCCACACTGTCAAAGTCTATCAGTGCCAGCTGTCAGTGCCATGTGCCAGTGCCTATCAGTGCCACATCAATGCCACATATCAGTGCATACCAGTGCACATCAATGCCACATATCAGTGCCCACCTGAGCTGCCTTTCAGTGTCAGTGCCACCTATCAATGCCAATCAGTGCCACCTATCAGTGCTGTCAATCAGTGCCAGTCAGTGCCGCCTATCAGTGCCAGTCAGTGCTGCCTATCAGTGTGCATCAGTGCCACCTATCAGTGCCAGTAAGTGCCCCCTACCAGTGCCAGTCAGTGCCGCCTACCAGTGCCAGTCAGTGCCGCCTAACAGTGCAATATATCAGTGCCATGTATCAGTGCCATGTATCAGTGCTGCCTTTCAGTGCCCATCAGTGATGCCTGTCAATGCCCATCAGTGCCACCTACCAGTGCCTTCTCATCAGTGCCATCAGTGCCTACCTATCAGTGTCCATCAGTGCAGCCTATCAGTGCCCATCAGTGCAGCCTCATTAGCGCACATCAGTGAAGGAGAAAATTCACTTATTTACAAAATATTATAACAAAAACTAAGAAAAAACTTTTTTTTTCAAAATTTTCAGTGGTTTTTGGTTTTTTTAAGAAAAAAAAAAAAAAACCCTGAGGTGATTAAATACCACCAAAAGAAAGCTCTATCTGTCACAAACAAAATTATAAAAATTTCATATGGGTACAGTGTTGCATGACCGCGCAATTGTCAAAGCGCGACAGCGCTGAAAGCTGGAAATTGGCCTGGGCAGGAAGGGGGTATAAGTGCCCAGTAGGCTAGTGGTTAAACGTGCATTTCTATCTTTTATCCATTTACTTGCAATATTCTCTTTCCCCCCCGCAGGGAAGAGTTCTGTTCCCCCCCAACGGTATTAACAGTGAATTATACTTCCACCCCCTTTGTTTATGAATTCTATCCCAAATCCTGAAAACATTTCGTGTTAAAGTGCTTTTTTCTGAAAATTTCTAAACTGTTGTAGAAGCCAAATAATCTTATCTAACTGTGATTCACTCAGTGTACTTTCCATTATTACCCAACTTTTCCCTTGTGAGTTATAAATCCAATCTGCTATTCATGAAAGCAACACCGCACAATAATGTCTCCTAAAATGTGCACGTTCAGGCCCCTGTTAACTTATTATTTATTTATTTATTTCAGGTACTTATATAGCACCATAAAAAAATCGCCATATTATCTTTACACAATACCTCATAGCTAACTCTTGGTCTCTTATTTGCCCATATATATTTAAGAATCATCTTTTTTATTGTCTCAAAGAATGACCCCTGTAAATATATTGGGAGCATATGAAATTTATACAGGACCTTTGGGACTATTATCATTTTAACAGATTTATACAGCCGATCCAAGAGATCCAATGGATATTTTCCTCAAATCATTATTTGACCCCATTTATTAATGAAATGTAATTTATCTTATATATGTTCTTTAAAATGGGGGTTAGCTTTACTCCTAAATAACTCAAATCATTTTCCCTCCATATAAAAAGAAAATCTTTCTGTAGTATCTGTTTATCTGTCTTGAACATTGATATTTAACATCTTTGACTTCAAGGGGTTAATTTTCAAGTTTGATAGTTCTCCATATTATTTTAGAATTTTCATTAAGTTGGGTAGAGTTACTCTAGGATTTACTATATAAAAATAACATGTCGTCTGCATATGCCGCTACCTTATGCTCCTCACCCCCTATCAAAATTCCCTTTACATCTATATTCCTTCGTACAGTCACCAATAATGGTTCCAATGATACGACAAAAAGTAAGGGAGAGAGTGGACATCCCTGCCTAGCTCCATTATACTTTTAAAGGGCTGTGAAAGCAAGCCATTAACCTTGATCGCTGCTGTTGGGAAAAACTACATAACCTTTTAATCCATTGCATAATTTTAGGTCCAATTCCCAAAACTTCCAATGTGCCAAACATAAATCTCCAATCTACCCTATCAAAGGCTTTTTCGGCATCAATTGATAGAACTAACACTGGATAATTCTCTCTTACTTTTTTGCAAAAGCAATGATGATCTCAATCCATTATCCCTTCCCTCTCTCCCTGGGATAAAACCCACCTGATCTAAATGAATCCACTCCGACATCAACTCTGTCATGCTATTTGCTAAAACCTTTGCATATAATTTTGTATCTATATTTAATAGCGATATGGGTCTATAACTGACACATTGGGACAGATCTTTCCCTCATTTGGTATTATTGTAATATATACCTGCAATGACTGCGCTTTCATTTCCATTTCCTCTCCTAATGCATTCATGTACATACACATCTTAGACACACGTTGTTCTTTAGATTTCCTATAATATCTCAACGTATATCCATCTGGTCCAGGGCTCCTTCCTGTATAAATTTCCTCCTACGATATAGATTTATCCAATACTGCTAATCCTCCTTCCTCTAGTCTAGGTAGCCCAGCCTCTTTTAAGTACGCCTGTCTTTTTCTTTTTTTTTTTTAACATTCTTTATTTATATAAAACTTTTTCCAAGACGTACAGAAAACAATACCAGGTTTGGTCCAGATAACGCCTGTCTTTTTTTCCTTCTTTCTTCCTCTAATTCTTTCTGGTTTTTAGATTTTATTTCATATAGATTACTATAATATTTTTGAAACGTTTTAGTAATATCAATGGTTGAATATACCATTTCTCCATTCTTATCTTTGATTTTCTATATATAATTTCTTGATTTCTGTTCCCTCAATCTTCTCATTAAGTATTTTCCTGGTCTATTCCCCCAATGATAGCTCTCTTTTGCAACAATATTAAAGACTCTTCTTGTTTCCTGTTCCATTAAATCTTTTAACTCTTCTCTTTTTTGAGTTATCTTCTGCTGTATCTCTATTTCTATTTTCTCCTTTCGTTCCCCTTTCTTTCTTTTTTTCAGCCCCCATTGAGATCAGGATTCCCCTAATATATGTCTTATGCGCTTCCCAGATAGTAGCAATGGAGACCACTTTCATTGAGTGTAAAATATTCCCCTAATTCCCTCTTTATTCTTTTCTTCATCTCAACATCTTGTATAAGCGTCTCGTTTAATTTCGATGTACTACTTCCACTCCATTCCCCTTCCAACTTTAATCTCGTTATAACAGGTGCGTGATTTGATAGAGACATTACCTCAATTTGGAATTTAGCAAAGACTCTAAAAGTCTATGTTCTATCATTATGTAATCCAATCTTGATTATATCCCGTGCTCCAGATCTCCGAAGATCTGGGGGACCCGGGAACTCACATCCATTCAGAGAGCTCCGACATCCCATCTCCTCTGCAGCGAGCGAGCGGCTGTTCCCAGAATTCCCTGTCGCCGTCACGTGGATGCTCCCAGAATCCACCTCTCTGCACTCTGACTGTGGCTCTTACACATCCAGGGTAGATCAGAGCCTCTACACTCCACACATACGGCCCCGAGGAGAAGGACAAGCCAGGCGGGGAGTCCTATGGCAAGGTAGACATCAGGCGCACCAGGAGTTCCTCACTCTAGTGTCCTGTCGGCGCCATGTTCCTGCTACTAGAGGTCTCTTGAGCAGTCTGCAAAGGACCCTTTAGATCAGCAGCACAGGGGACTACATCTTAGCAGTGGTAGAGGGTTGAATGATGTCACCTTCAGCCTGACAAAGCCGCTGTAAGCTGGGTTGTTAGGCGAGTATTTTGTACCATTTACCAGTTGGTTTAAATTTTTGAGAATGTGTTTTTTAAACTGTAGCACTCTCCTAGTTAGGTTGCTAGGCTGTAAAGCAAATTTTGTTCTTTTTGGCTCTTCTATACTCAGTGGAGCAGTTGTTGATTGCTTTGGGCTGTTCTGTGTTTGATTTTTTCTGTGTAGAATCATAATATTGTGGAAAGTCAAATAAGCAGTCTGAATATTTATGGAATTTCAGCCAATCCCTGGGAAGGTGTGCCCAGTAGGTGGCTGAAGAGCACGCAAATAGTCGGAGGCCTAGAGCAGCCTGTTTGTAAGCCCTGTGTCTAGTCCTTCACCAAGAGTCCCCAGCCTGACAGTCTGTGCCCCTCTGGGCAGCTTGCTGGAGTTTGCTGCATGTTGATCGAGGTCCCAGCTGTGGCATAGCTGGGGGGCCTATTTCTAAATTTCTTTTCTGGAGCTTATCAAGGGAATTCACCTGTGGACCTGGTCTGGAGAGCTTACTGAACAGTACCAGATGGAAGTTGGGAAGGGTCAACCTATCCTGTGGCAGTGTGAGCATTAACCTTTCAATCATTGAAGAGCTCACTGAAGGAGCCATCCAGCTGTCCTATAGCATTGTGATCATTAATCTCTCCCTCATAGAAGAGTGTCTGGTGGATACTGGAAGGAGGCATCCAGTGATCCTATGACATTGTGAGAACTGACCTGAGCTCAGGGTTCAGTATTTGTGGAGTATCCCATATCACTCCATACCCTCTCCATGTTCTTCAGCAATAAAATTATAAAAAGGCATCCCCTTAATGAGCTGGCATGAAAAGAACTGTTGCTGTGTGCCTGGCTGCCTCTGCACTAATCTTGGGAAAGAACCAGTTAAATTACAGCAGCTTTGGGTGTAGCGCTACATAAGAAGCTTTTTTAAATGGGTGGGGGTGAGGCATTAAAAATAAAGCCTGCCCTTTATTTTAATGCAGTGTCTGCTATAATAGTCCACGAGTACTTCTGTTTATCAATCCTCTTTTGTTTATGAACGGCAGTACAAGCTCCCTAATAACTCATTTTTTGTTCAGTCAAACATTCAATTTGACTTTTATCAGCTTATCTAACCTCATAACGCATCTTAGAACTAATGTTCAAGTTTACAATACTGCTCTTCATTGATGTCTGAGTGCTATCCACAGTTATGAAACATCCAAGATCCATCAAGGGAAAAGTATACAGAGGTTATATATCCATCTGTATATATCTGCTTTTATCCCCATATAACATACAGTATATAAAAAAAACTCATAGCAGAGGCAAAAGACCTTTTGAAGGGCTGCCTGAATGAAATATAAGCATATGAAGTTGCTCAGAGGATACACAGATACTGTAGATGATGATTGTACGTGAAGATAAACTCTTTGGCATTTAGACCTGCTAGTATCCACTCTATACATTTAGTTAAATTTCTGTTCAAATTATAATTATACCATAGCATTTCCTCTTTAATAGTACAGACATATGGGAGAGGAGATTGAGGGTATTTCCCTTGAAGTTCAGAAACCTGCCCCTGTGTCTTCAGCAGTCTTGGAGCTTGGGTAGTAGATGACGTTCTAGCTCCTGATGGTGGTGATTGTTGTAGTAATGGTAATACTGCAGGGCTGGGCTAGCAAAAGGAATTTCACAGTGCCAGCAATAGCTGCTAAGACACA